CTAATTTCTGTGCAGTCTTATTTGCAATCTAAATTAATTTCTTCATTGACCCTTCCCTACCATTCTCCAAGAAGCTTACCATATTGGTGATAATGACACTTCATCTTTAAAATATGAAATTTTTTACTGAAGTATAGCACACATACAGAAGGGGGCACACATCACAAATATAGGACTTGATGAATTTTCACAAAGTAAGCACACCAGTATAATCACTACCCTGAATAAGAAATATTACCCTGGGCTGAGGTTGCAGCTCAGTAGTAGAGAACTTGCCTAGCACATGTGAAACACTGGGTTTGCTCCCCCACACCACATAAATAAATGAACAAGATAAATGTAGAAAAATAAAATATTCTTTAAAAAAATTTTTTAGTTGTTGATGGACCTTTATTTTATTTATTTATATGTGGTGCTGAGAATCTAACCCAGTGCCTCACATGTGCTAGGCAAGTGCTCCATCACTGAATCACAACCCCAGCTCTCAAAGAAAATAGTCTCAAAAAAAGAAAAGAAAAAAGAAAAAGAGGGGCTGGGATTGTGGCTCAGTGGTAGAGTGCTCGCCTAGCATGCATAAAACACGGGGTTCAATCCTCAGAACCACATAAATGTAAAATAAAGATATTGTGTTCACCTAAAACTAAAAAATAAATATTAAAAAAGATATATCCTATAGGTTCATCCTATGTACCCATTCCTAGTCGCTCTCTCTTCTTCCTCAAAACTGTATTTTTCCTGACTTTTTCCTTGTGTTAGGGATTAAACTCAAGGATGCTTTACCACTAAGCTACATCCTCAGCCCTTCTTATTATTTATTTATCTTCTTTATTTTTTCCCAAGTTTTGAGATTTTTGCTAAGCTGCAGAGGTTGGCCTTGAACTTGTGATTCTCCTGCCTCTACTTCTGGAGTAGCTGGAATTACAGGTGTGTGCTACCAGGTCAGGCTGTATTATTCTGGTTTTTAAATAACAGCTCCATTTTTCCAGTTTTGAGACTAATAAAAAAAATGGAATGAGACAGATTATACTTTGCCTTCTTTAGCTAAATGTTGTTTGGGAAAGTTCACTCAGGTTGTTTACCTGCACTAGGGCATTTATTTTTATACTCTAATACTACAATTTATTCATCCTACTGTTGATGGATATTCTAGTTGTTTCCAGCTTGGACTTAGTAAAAATAAATGTTTCTATGGACTCTTTCATAATAGCCACAAACTGAAAGCAATCCAAATGTCCATTAATGAAAGGATAGATAATTAAACTGTAGCACACTTACATGCTAAGATTTTTATCATCAATAAAAAAACACCAAACTTGATACATATAACATTATGTATAAATCTCAAGAACATTCTATTAATTGAAATAGGCCAAACACTACAAACTACAGAAGGTACAAAACCCAAGAATAGGCAAAACTAATTGGTAGTGATAGAAAATATCAGAAAGTAATGTCTGGAGATGAGGATAATTGATTGGAAAGGAGCATCAATTGAAGACATTTTCTGGGTGGTGATGAAAATGTTCTCTATCTTAATTTGACTGGTACTTAACATGAGTGTACACAGGTGCCAAAATTCATTGAACTAAACACTTCATATCTATATTCTGTTGCATATCAGCTATAATTTAATAAAAATTAAGCATTGATAAATACTGCTTAGTCCTAAAGATGCTGCTATAAACTATTCCTGGGTTTTGGAACATGTGTATGCAAATCTATTGAATATATAGTTTAGGACCACAGGGTACAGACGAATATGGATTCTGCCTCTTTTTTTTTTTTTTTTTTTTTGTACCAGGGATTGAACTCAGGGGCACTCGACCACTGAATCATATCCCTAGCCCTATTTTGTATTTTATTTAGAGACAGGGTCTCACTGAGTTGCTTAGCACCTAGCAGTTGCTGGGACCCTTTTGAACCTGTGATCCTCTGTCTCAGCCTCCCATGCCTCTGGGATTACAGACGTGTGCCACCTTGCCTGCTGGACTCTGCCTCTTAACAGCTGTGTGACATTGGACAAGTACCCATAATCTCTAGTTTCCTTATCTGTACCAAGGAGCTAATCTCACCTTGATGAGGGCAAACCTGGGAAGGCTATTTTTTAAAAAATATTTATTTAGTTATAGATGAACACACATTATCTTTATTTATTTTTATGTGGGGCTGAGGATTGAACCCAGTGCCTCACAAATGGGAGACAAACACTTTACCACTGAGCTACAGCCTCAACCCGGGAAAGCTATTTTTGTTAATTGACAAAAGGACTTAGTGCTGAAGGATCTTATTCTCTAAAATTTTAGATTTTCAGAAAAAATTGCTCTTTGATATATTAGTAAAAACGGAATACTGGGTCAGTGCAGTAGTGCACGCTGTAATAGAATTGGCTCCGGAGGCTGAGGCAGGAGGATTGCTCAAAGCCAGCCTTAGTAATTTAGCTAAGCCCTAAGCAACTCTGCAAGACCTTGTCTCAAAATAAAAAATAAAAAGGGGCTGGGGATGTGACCTGGTGGTTCAGAGCCCCTGGTTTTAATCCTTGGTAAACATACACACACACATATACACACACAAACAAAAATAACACCGAAAACCAAAGAAACAAACAAAACAGAATATTCTATTCTTACTAGAAGAATCTGAGGTTACTTTGATGCAGAGAGGCAGCCTCATTTTTTTTTTTTTTTTGGTACTGAGGATCGAACCCAGTGGTGCTTAACCACTGAGATACATCCCTATCCCCATCCCCCCATTTTTTATTTTGAGACAGGTTCTCTTTAAATAGCTTACAATCTCTCAGAGTTGCTGAGACTGGTTTCAAACTTGTGATCCTTCTGCCTCAGCCTCCTAAATCCCTGGGATTACAGGTCTACTGTGCCTGGTAGTAGACTCAATTTCTAACCCAGGTTCAGAACTTCAGATGAGAGGCTTTCAAATACAACGTTCCACATTTATCTTCATGTTTAGTTTCCAAGGAAACAGGATCCTGAGTCCTGTTGTTAGCTCAGGCCTGATGATAATCCTTTTACACATAGCCTGGTGTGCTTTGAGGCTGCCAAAATACTGCTTGTGGCCTTGGGATGTAGCTCAGAGGTATAGTGCTTGCCTAGAATGCCTAAGGCCCCAGGTTTGACCCCCAGGATTGCAAAGACCGAAACCGACAAACAAAAAAATTCTCCTACTTTTAAATTTTACCTCCAGTCCATCTTTCCTCCAAATCCTAAAATAATTCTCCTTCTTCCTGTGTTTGGTGACATGCCCCCATGATTCCTCTAGTGTGCAGTTTATAGCAGTAAGTTAATAAACTTAACTTTGTCAGGCAACAGGTGGTCTTTATCAGATGAACTTTATCTTGGGAACTTCTGATAATGTATACAAAATATGTTCACACCATCTGGTACTACTAGAAATGGTCAAATTATTCATATTATTAATGTATTTATTTAATAAATATTTTTTTGAAATCCACATTTGCAAAGCATAGATTTACTGCTATGAGAGATGTGAAATCACCTTTTTTTTTTTTTAATATGGAGAAAGAAAACAACAATTATATCTTCAATTCTCAGGAGAAAAATACATTTACTGAACTTCACTTGTAGCTCAGTGGCATAGTGCTTGCTTAGCATGCATGAGGTCCTAAGTTCAATCACCAGCACACACATAAAAGAAGTGTCATATGTAAATTTTAAAAATCTCAAGATTATTTTACAGGGAAAAAAAGTACAATTTACATGATTTTCTATAGGATTTGAAAAAAACAAAACTATGGACTCTATAGAATTAGTAGGGTTTTAATAACACAACAAGAGCCCCAAATGTCATCTGTCCCTCTCTGTGGAGGAAAAAAAAATGCACTCCAAGGAAAAAAAGCTGTAAGGCTGAACATGGGCTCATTCACACATTTTGGGCCCCTCCCACACAAGCAAGCTGCTTCCTCCAAGCATTTTTCAGAGATTACAAAGCAGGCTCCAGTGCGGTTGGGTGGAGAACACAGGAAACCGCCAGTTCCCCTTCACTTCTCATCATCTGGATACTCCCAAAGCAAAATCCTATCCGTGTTTTTCCTTTTACCATACGCTCACAAAATGCAGTCTTCTATGGAAACATTGTGCTTTTACACTCCAAATTAAGGGAATGATTTTTAAATTTTAGGAGTCCAATTCTTCAAGAAATCCTTGCTTTGGATACAGATGAACAGGCTATTTGGAAGAAATTTAGATAGAGAATGGATTTGGAAATAAGGGAATGAGTTTTAGGGAACTAATGAGATGACAAGTCAGTTTAATGTTTGTTTGGGTTTTAGAGTCAAACTTCAATAAAGCGATTAACCTCTCTGGTTTTAATTTTTTCACCTGTAAAAGAAAATAATGTTTAGTTTTTGGAGTTACTTTACGGCAACATTTTAAAAACCGACTGTCCATTATCTATTTTAAAGATAAATACAGACAGAACATTGTCCCTTGCTATGAAAGTGCTTATCAACAAGTGAATCGCAGTGAGTTTTCACACACAGTACGTGCTCAACAAATATAATTATTATTTTATTGTTTAGATTAGAAGAGGGAAGGACAGGAGAAATGAAAGTGGTTTGAGAACCATAAAAGTGCTTTGCAAATACTACCAAAGTCGTAAAGGATGAAAGTAAAATGAGGAAAATTTCGGGTTACGGTTTGGTTACGGATCTGTCTCGAAGTTGTTTAATTCTCCCATATTTGGGCCTGAATTCTCAGAATAGAACAGAATAGGATGTAAGGGCTGAGATCATCTGGTACAATTTTATGCCTCCAGTCACACTACGCCCAGGCGAGAAATAACACAGCCACACAAGCTCCTCCAATCGGAGCCCCGACTATCTGATGTCATCGTTCCGCCCCACATCGCCACGCCTAGAGCACTCTAGCGTCTATGCCACCTTCTAGCGGTGGTTCCAGCAGCGCTTGCGCACTGCGAAGAGGGGCGGAGCGGACGCGTGCGCGCTGCGTGTGGGCGGGGCTAGTGCGCACGCAGCCTCAGCCCCTTCCCCGCCCTTTCTCTTCCCGGTTTCCCTCTCAGACTGCGGGTACCTTCTGGTGGCTGCTTCCGGTAGGAACGCGGTGCAAGGCGAGCTGGTTTCAGTTCCTCGTCATGTCCTACGGTCCCTTAGACATGTACCGAAACCCGGGGCCCTCGGGGCCCCAGCTCCGGGACTTCAACAGCATCATCCAGACATGCAGCGGCAACATCCAGCGGATCAGTCAAGCCAGTGAGCCAGGGACCCAGCTGGGGGCGGGGGGCGTCCTGGGGACAGGCCTGGGTGAGGTTGCCGCGACGCGGAGCCCGGCTGGGACCACGACTAAGGCCACATCTGAGATGGTCTCGAGCTTCCCCTCTGGGGGCGGCGGACTGTCATCCCGGCGTCTATCTGGCCCGGGTCCCCCGAGGATCCCTAGCCCAAGATGAAGCTCTAGTTTCTTTTCAGGAGTTCTACCCTCCCAGTGTTGGAATCAACACAACAGACCTAACAGCCTGAGGTTGGAAGTGGGGTGTGTGTCACCGCGAGGGCAATGAGTGCCTTGACTTGGCGCAGTGGTCAGCCAAGTTTTTCCTGTCATTCCCCCCCCCGCCCACCTCGCTTTCCTCTTTGGCCTGTTTGAATCAGGGATTGTTTACTGATTGAAGCTTTAGGATGAGCCACTGGCTCCTCAGAAATCAGCAACTTTCAATTAAGGGAAGTGGAGAGTGCATGTGTTTGGGTGACAATATACAGTCTTTCCTGTAATGAATTTGGAAGTCAGACACAATTACTGGTAGTTGGGTGGTGGGTGACTTCTATTTTAATAAAGAGAATTCACTGGAAACATTTCTTTCAATTTATGTTATTTTGTCTTTTGTCATAAAGAATTTGTGTATTTGGGTTTCAAACAGATGAAAAGAGTAACCCTGCAGATCTACTCTTTTGAACAAATTTGATACACACAGAAGCTCAGGGTAGCCACAACCACACAGCAAGTAAGAAATGGTTTGGTTGTTGATGGAATTAAGAATGTCATCGCTTATTTAAAAATACTCTCCTCACCATTAAGATCTTGAGTGAGACTGTAGCATAAGAGTCATATATAGGCTGTTTCTTGTGTTTGAAAATTATCTCAGAGCTTTAAAAAGAGGAGGTCTGCCACAGAAACTTTACTTGGAATGAATGATCATCATCAACCTTGTTTATTATTGTGCTTTTTGATCTTGGTTGTACTCTGTTAATAGAACTAGTTGGTCCTCAATTACAATTATTTTCTATATTTTAAAGAATGATCTACGACTTTGATTTTAGATTTACATGTATGTTGTAGAATTTGAGAGGTGGAAAGTTTCTGATGGGAAGGGATTGAACTGGATGATTTGGAAATGGAAAGAATGTGTGGCCTGTTAAGTCCAGAAACTTAAAAAAAATGACTGCTGGTTAGAAGGTATAGTACTTTGTGTTCCAATTTCTTTTTGTGAAGGAGCTGTAATACAGGTTAGCTCAGAAAATTCTGGTTCAAGGCTGAAATTTTTTTGTTGGACTAAATCTTTTTTTTAATGTCTATTTGTGTAATATTCTGTAGTTTTTGAGTATCAAGCTATGGGAATCTGTTGAGAACATTAACAATCAAAATAAGGATGCTATAGAAAGGTTTTAAATAACAATAACATGTAGGTATTCAGGGGAGAGAGAGAGAGAGAGAGAGAGAGAGAGAGAGAGAGAGAGAGA